AAGGTAGTACCATCTTTTCATGCATCCTATGTGCAAACAATTAAAAAATGCAAGGGAAGGAAGCAGATGCAAGAATGATGAGTCCTGTACAAAAATATTGCATGAAAATTCATGACTTCTGCAAACACACTGAAGGGAACATTAATAAAATAATAAAAGTATATTTACTAGTAGTGAATATACCTGTGGCACTGCCGTGGCATAGAATTTGTTTGCTAATCAGCACAGTCACAAACCAGGAATCATATACTGTCTTCAGTATAAATCATATTGATGTCAATGGCACTTGTCCATGTCTGGCTGTGGGCAGTATTCCCTCTGGCTTTCTATAGACTATAATGGCCTTCATTGTGAATAATCCTATTGAAGTTAGTGAAGCCACCTGTGGAGTAAGAAGAGGCTGTCTGAAAGTGCTCTGCAGCATTACTTCATATTAAGGGTATGTTGAAAACCATATACATTGAGCAAATGCTAGAAGGTATTTTAATAAATTGGTGGAGTCAAACAGGTCAACGGATAGTTCATATCCACAGATGGTATTTTCCACTGATACATTTATACAACCATGGACGCAATGCTTACAACTGTAACGTGCTTATAAAAGTGTTGACCCTTTTAAATACCTGCACTTGCACTAGCATTAAAGGAAAGTGACCTGTATCTCAATCTTGCTCTATGCTAGTCTGAATTTAATGTTAAGCCTTAGATCACAGGGAAGTTATGAAACTGATGAAAATCCTGCTTTCTAAAAACCAGAAATTACTGAAGGGCCCCCCTCCTGTTTTCCTTTTCACCAGTGGTGTCCTGTGGCTTATCATCTAACAAGCAGGTGGATCAAAGATACCTAGTGAGAAACAACATATAACTGGTTGTAGTAAAGGGAGAAAATAAAAGTTGAATGCTCTCTTTTATCTTGCGTCCGGTATAGAATATGTTAATAATTTAGAACATCCTAGGACAAGAAGATAGCACTTAAAAGCATAGTGAAATAACAGGAGAGAGGCCTGGAAATGCTGTTTATAACCCAGCCAAATCAAACCAATCTCTCGTTTGGAGGCAAATGAAACACAGGTGTGATCAGATTTTTAATTAGGTCAATGCTAGCAACAAAGTGCCCCACATGGGCTGAAAGGTTAAACAAAAGTTCTACAAGCAGATGGTCGGACTCTTTGTTGTGCTCCAGTTCTGGTGTGAGCTGGTCCTAAAGGCTTCGTGGCTTGGCGCAAAAGGATTAACCCAGTGTAGGGAGGATCTCCTGGCAATATAATAATTCCTATGTGAGCCCCTCCTTCCCAGCTGTCTGTGTGCAGGGCTACACCCTGGCATGCAATTGCAATGAGCTGGGCGTCTCTTGGCCCCAACAATCTTCAGCAAATGTATCAGGGCTTTAGCTGTGCCAGCAGCTGGCATAAATCAGGGCAGATTTCAGTCAGGGTCTGTATTATCTTTTCATTCCTATAGACGTTGCACCTTCCCCTTCTCTTACCCATGTCCAAACCTGAGGTCCTGGGAACTGACCCAGCAAGGGAAAGGGACACATCCTTGGTAAAGAGCAGCTCTAGCGGAGGCAGGGGATGCTCCTGGAAACTTCTATATAAGCACAAGGCTTCCATATGGGTCTCTCAGCCTTGGGGACAGAGGAGTACATTATTGTGATTGTAGGCACTGCATTTCCTTCCTGGAAATTGCTAACCCTGTTCCCCAGACAAGGACATAACAAATCCACATGGGTATCCTTAAAGAGAGAGAGATGTGCTGCAAAACCCCTCCTCTAGGCTATATTTAGCATCCTGAAATATATGATTAGCTGTTCTTGATCACAAATAGTACTCCCTTCAACAGACATGCATCTGCAGTAAAATTACTAAACAGAGTGTAAAAAAGTCATAGGCAGATGGACCTTGCATGTCCAAGTCTTTGAAAGCTTGTCCAGCTCTTATCCTGTTTCTGTTGTGCTTTGCAGACTGCTTTCCAAGTATCTGTGGCACAAGGGCAGCTGTCCATTAAAGAGGCAGACATCAATTGTTAAGTTACATTAGATTCCCAGGAAAATGCACGTCAGTGCCATTCAAGTCACATTAATGTATCATGATTAATCGTGCAAGGAATATCGAATGAATAATTGATTAACGTCTTATTACTGCAACGGCTGTCTGTCATTATTATGCCTGGTGATTTGTGATTAACATTAGTCCCGTCAGTTTCTGTGCTACAACTCTGTGACGACCTATGATCTCCACGCCATGATTTGTAGATGTCACTTTCCCTGCTCTGATGGTCCAGTGACTGGGCCTTAATTGTAAAGTGTAGGCTAGATAAAGATTAAACATAACCAAGCTCCTGGTTTGGGGTTGGTTTTTTCCCCCTCTTCCTTAGGAGCATTTAGCCACATCATCAGAGATGGAAGGTATAAGCATTCCCAGAAACTTAAGCAAGAAGAAAGAAGCAAAGCTTCCAAAGAGGGCTATTAATCCAACCATCTAAGTAGGGCAGCTGCTAGGGGCTTCATATGAAGACTGTGGGGTACTGGCTTTTGCTGTGCTAGTTTGAGACTGTACCATGAGTAAAATTTGCAGAGCAGACCTTTGTCAGGCATTCCCGTACTACACATGTAGCAGTTTTGTCTTGCACCTACATGTATGTTCCTCTCACTTGTTCAGTCACCTTCTTTTAAACTGGGAACAGTTGCTTTATATCAGAACTGCATAAAAAGAGGCCTTAATTCCTACTCCTTCTGCACACATGCTGCTCATTCAGGACAAGCAGAGGGAGGCTGTGCCCTGGCTTCAAGGAGTTCAGCTCTACATTCAGCCAAGGACATCAGCAAAAGCTTAGCCCATGCACATGCTTATGTCTGACTGTTAGTTAATGTTAGCATAAATAACCTATTTCTGATGTTACTGGTCAACTGTACTGTCTACCAGTAACCACCAACTTTCTCCTGATTTTTTTCAGCCTTTTTTCATGATGTTTCAGAGCTAGCTTTATTTCTGACATTCTAGCAAGTCACTGGTGTGAGGAATATAATGTACTGAGAAGGTGTGACTAATTGTGATGGCAGGCCAGGCTTGGTGGACTCACTGCACAGAAAATTAAAAAGCTGATCCGACAGTGCCGTGGAATGCCAGATAGGCAGCGGCAAAAGAGAAGGAGGTATATACTAACTGGGAGACGACCAGACTTTGGGGACCACACCCAGATCCCTTCCAGACAACCACTGACTTAAATTGTTAATTATACCAGTGTACGCCTCTCCAAAGAAGCCTGGCTGCATTTGTGATTGATTAGAGAAATAAAAGGAAAAATACATGCGCTT